TAGTAGTAGTAGTAGTAGTGATAGTGATAGCGGCGATAGTGATAGTGGTGATAGTGGTAATAGTACTAGTAGCAGTAGTAAGAAGTAGGAAGAAGAGGCAGCAGTAGTCGCAGTCGTCGGCGGCGTCGTCGTCCCCGTAATTGCGCTTGTAGTTTTGGTTGCTGTTGCTGTTGATGTTGTCCTGTTGGAGGGGCTCCACAGCAGAGCATGAATCCGAGGGTTGGTGAAAGCTAGCGGGTGCTGATGACCAGTCCCACTATTTGCATAAACCCAGAGCCCTAAACTACGAACCCTGAACATTGAACTCTTAAAGCTACGGAAAACAATGCTAAAGGCCATAAACCTCAAACTCAGAACCCTTGTACCTAAACTGATATTTTCGGCTCCAATTAATTCTCGGTCCCAGAGGCCATCCTGTGGATGCCAAGCGTAGTTGGAGTGGATCATGACCTCCGCTGTCGCGCTCAGGGTTTATGAACCAAAGGCCCTACCGAAGAACTCGATAGGTGCAGGGTTGAGGGATGAGTGTCGGCCCGAACCCCTAAGCCCTAAATCCCAAACCCTACCTTGCGGGCTTCTGGGCGTTCCTGGCCGCTTAGCTTAGTCCGGGGGCGTGAGCGTTGGGAGGATTTCTGAAGGCAGGGCTTGGGTCTGGACGAAAGGATGGCACTCGAGCACTGGTTTCGGTACCACTATGATCACTGCTATTACTATTTTTGTTCTGCCTATGATTATTATTGTTGGGATTATTTTGGTTGTTGCTATTCTGATGAATATTCTTCTTATTATTATTACAGTTTTTGTTTTTATTATTATTAGTAGTAGTAGCAGCATTCGTGATCACAGCTGCTAGTCATGCTGTGAAACAATAATCACCGCAAAAGCCACAGTAGCCGGAGGAAATCCTACCAACAGCCACTGTGGGCAAAACCATGTCTCGAAGGGGCACAGAGCTCCAACCGTTGGGAACTTCGTCTTAGTCTTAGTTTAGGGTTTTAGGTTTTAGGTTTTAGGTTTTAGGGTTTAGGGTTTAGGGTTTAGGGTTTAGGGTGTACTGTGATGATTCGTAACAGCCCTGATAGACTCGAAAAGTCTCGTGTGACGTGTCGAGGTCCCGGGCCGAATGACGCTTGTACGGCGCGATCCACTCACCTGCCGCTTGGGGAAGCACGGGTGTTGGGTGTGCAACTTGGGATGCTCGTTTAGGCCTTGTTGGTCAGTTTAGATTTTTTCCAACCCTCTCTGACGCCCGCACTCGGCAGGTCAGGGCACTAGCGAAAGTTTAGATCTTCGTTAATATCGTTGCTGGCTGTCACTTATGACTTCAGAAACACCCTTTGATACTCCTTACTTTACCAGTACTGCTGCTACGAGTCTCTTTCTGTATTATCCTTCCTGCCGCTCCGTAACGCAGCTGCTGCTCTTTTTCCGTGACATGCTACGACCATGGGATCATCCCCTACAGCCTACACCCTTCGACCCCGAGAAGTGACCTGGCTTCGGACCTTCCCACTCGGCCTGTGGGCTCGATACCGCCGATCTTCATGAAAACAGAGCCGTGGTTAGTCGCCCCAATCACCTCACATATGGACTTCGGAAACGGGTCACGGTTTCGGAATGAGCACACTCGGCGCGGATTTGGGTTGGAGTGGCCTTTGTAGATAAGCCGCTACCTCAACATTAGGGGGCTGGCATCTCGCTGATGTGGAACTTGCATTGCACGCTAACTTTCCTGGCAGGAACTGCACAAAACAATAACGGCGGCAACAATGCGACTTGCAGATTGGTTTTCCTGGAGGTGTGCAACTCATTGACGAAGTCTGCGAATTCAAACTCTCGCCCACGATGGCTCTCGCCGTGGCATTTGCGTCTTGTGGAATTATTGACAAGATGTGTGTGTATATATATATACATATACAAGATAGTTGAATATAGCATGATATAAAAAGCTTATGCACGAAGTCGCTCTTGAGATTTCATTCCTGTCTTCGTCTATGGCGGACCTTCCATCGTGAAAGCCTTTCTGGCGGATTTTCCACGAAGGCCGGGACGCAACACGTAGATCCACTTAAAAGTGAATCCCTTCTTCAGAGAAAACAGCACTAGGTTACTAGGTTACCTATTTACATCTTTAAACTGGAACAGTCTAATCCCGGCTTCCTTTCACAAGGACGATCTTCAATCAGCCAAGAATTGTACTGCTGCTGACCCCGGGACTACGTTAAAGCCTAAACTAGTTCATGGTTGGGGTAGTATTAAAAATTTGAATTTATATTCCTTATTGGGTTTAAGTACCCTTAAAAATGTAAAATGTTACCCAACTATGACAAAGTAAACCCTAAAGTCTGAATTCAACAATCCCCCGTGCTCGGGAACCTGGCGTGCAACGGAGTGCAATTAAAGGAGCACGAACACTGCAAGCATAAAGCGGAAAATGACAACACTGAAGCCCCTAAAACTCACCAAGCCCAACCGAACAGCCTCTAAGAGCTCACACTCTTAGTTAACCCGGCGCTCTTCTTTCCGGAAAACCTGGCATCTGAGACCCAGGCTCCATGCCTCACTGCGTCGTGAAAGTTGAGATACTTGTGAGCTCCATGTGTGTCATCCTCGACGGGGGCTTGGCAAAACGACATGGGGGAAGGGGAAGGCATCCGGGTGGAGGGTTTTTTTAACCAGGGAGGGGTCTTCACAAGTGCCTTGGCTCCTCAGCCAACTTAGGTGCACTCTCGCACACGCCGTCCAGTGTAGTTCTGGCAGAACTACGCAGATGTCCAACATCGGCTTGAGTCCAAAAAGACCCGCATCCCCCTGCGAGCTGAATGAAAAGAATCTCTGGACATCTGGACTTACCCTTAAACCCTAAACCCTAAACCCCTAATATGACCTAACCTTGAAAGCTCATCCTGAGGCTGGGCCTTTCTATCGGGCTAATCCTCAACAGGCTCGCGGGATCCTGCGTGACAAACGTGAACTGCTGGAAGAAGTCTCGACCACTGGCTCTCCAGGACAGACCTCGGAACACCCAAACTTACTGCTTCTACTGACTTGGGCCTGACTTCTGTCACTCCTTGTCCTCGTCCTACTACACTGCTCCTCCTGCTGCTGCTGCTGCTACGACGATGACGACAAGAAGTAGGAGGTGGACGACGACATCGAGGACCACTGCAGCTTCGACTTCGACGAAGAGTACTGACAACTGTGCCTCTTTCTTAGACATGCTGTTGAAAGTATCGCCATGTGCTTATTCTCATCGCTATCATCACGTCGCCATCACCATCACCATCAATGTCTCCATCATCATCGCAGGGTGTCGTCAGAAATACAGTACCACAACGAACAGCTGTGAGCGGAACATCATGCAATGGAGAGAGGGTTTAGTAGAACTTCAGGGCATAGTGCTTGGGGTTCGCTGGTTTTGAAGTTGAGGCTCAGGTGATTTCGGTCTGACAGGGTCTGAGCGTAATGTGTCGCTAGTCCGGCGCGCCCCAATCGCAGAATCGACGGCTTCATTGAATCTATGCGCAAGCCTAAGCAGTATAGAATCTAAGGTGAGGAGTGTGGTGAACAAGGTCATCCTAGAAGCAATATTCGATATCGTCCGGCCCCTGGTATGCTTCTACTTGCGCTTTCGCTGAAGCTTAAGCCCCAAAACCTTTAGGGTTTGACAGGTTAGGGTTCTTCAAACTCACAAGCACCCTCGTCTGAGCACCGGGCGCATGTTCGACGGCTTAGCAAAGCAGCCTGTCATCATTCACGATTCAGGCCGCCAGCTTCTGTACAGAACTGTAAACAAAGACATATAATACACATATATTTATATGACACATACGAGCGCTGGGGGACATCTTGGCTCAAGCTGAGCTCGCAGCCGTACTCCATCAGCTCTGTGTAGTTGACTCCCAAGTCCTGCATTTTGGGTCCAAACTGAAGAGCCTCTAGTGAAAGTTTCATAACCTTATACTGCACTACTATGGTCATCATGTTGCATCATGATACGGTTGGCTCTGACTTGTGCGGTGTTTGTGCCGCTCGTAAGGCATCCCTTGTTACCAGCAGAGCGCCGGTCCCTTGAATTGGGGGCCCTCTACTATGGCATCAGCAGGCACATCCTGACGAACAACCTTCGTCGAATGGTCCTTCAAGCAGGGGACGTCGGGACTTAGGCTATTGGTTCGTGGCCTGGCAGATTTGGCCGTCGAAACATTAGGACTCTTGGAACAGTGCTAGCACTCCTTCCTGACGGTGCTGCCCCTGATCCGATAGGTTTCTCTCCTCCTCGGTGTCCACCATGTCCTCCACCTCATCTTCTGCCTGAAGCTCTTCGGCCTGAGATGTAGGGGTTGAGTGGTTTAGGGCTTAGGGTTTAGGGTTTCACGCGCATGATGTCATGACCTGCCCCCGCCTCTCCCTTCAGGCAACTTACATTGAACCTCTGACTTTTCCATGTCCCATGCAATGCTTGTAGTTGGGGGAAACAGCGGACCAGGTAAGGAAGCTCCCTGAAGTCCGAAGCCCTTGAACGGGCCCAGTGGTGTCGATCTGGCGAAACCGGTGTGGAGGGCGGTGTCAGTCAGCATGTGTAGGGTGATGGCCCAAGAAGTCAGGGCTAAGCGTCCCCAGCGTATAGCTGCCACAGCTTGCTAGGCAAAGTGAAGACGATTACACCATGCATCGTAGTAAAGCCCTGATGTATCCCTGGATCGCCTTAGTACGGTCACTCTGACGGCTTCGAACCCAACCCCGGTCCGAAGCACCAGTCCTGCAATCTCTCGTAATAATAGTAATAACAATATTAAAAGTAATAATAGTAGTAATAGTACTAATAGTAGTAATAATAACAGAAAGTAATAATAGTAATAATAGTAATATCACAAACCCAGGAAAGGACTCCAGAAACAGCAAACGATGCAGTAAACCAAGGCATGACTGTTCCGGCTAATGGCGTTTCGGGTGTGCTGCAGCGGCAGCCGTCATTTCTCCAAAGACCGAATTAGGCTGAAGTCTTCGAGCGTATACTAAGTAGGCCCGACAGGCAAACGAAGCACAGCCCTTCATAAACCCATTAAACGTCGCTAAGCAGAGCTTTCTTCCAGCCTTGTCATGATTATCGGGCCCCAAGCCCCTAGACCCCTCAAAGTGTATCAAACGTGATGTGAAGTGAATTCTGTATATATTAGTATCTCATACAATAACCCGTAGAGCCCCTACGTCTCAGGCTCTGCTCACGGCCTCGACAGCTTCGGTGGCGATTTTTGCTCCCCGATGCTGCAACGCATTCAGCGCACACTGCTCTCCTGGCCGGAGACTGTCTGCACACAATCAGCAAACAAATGCGGAAAAGAGGATAGGTAGATAGATTGGTTGATTGATAGAGAGATTAACAGTTAGTTCGGTGGCTACGCAGATAGGTAGCTACCTAGCCAGCCAGCCAGCCAGCCAGCCAGCTCGGTAGGTAGGTAGTTGGGTGGGTGGGTGGGTGGGTGGGTGGGTGGGTGGGTGGGTAGGTAAAAGTAGATAAGTAGAAAGATGCAGAAACAGACAAATGCAAAGACAGGTAGAAAGGTAGGTTGATGGGTGCACAAGCAGATAGGTGGAGTTTCATTCTCATCTCTTCGCCCCATCAAGATGCCTGTGCACTGATCGTCTTGATGCAGTGCCCGTTCCTGGGTGTGTGAAGCGGCGCGACGGGGTGAGAGCAACTGATTCAAGATCAGGATTATTCTGCCTTCTTGGCAGGGGTTTCTCAAAGAAGTGAGGAACTGCTGCCTGTGAAACCTAGATCCTCAAGACTCAAGGTCCTGAACCCTAGACGAAGAACCCGAATCTGAATCCACCCCAGGGTTGAAGCCAAGGAGCTTCCAGATCCTCGCCACGGGTCATGAGGGCCATTGCCACCATGGCCTGGGAAGCATCTCAAGCCTCTTGTTTGCCCAGCCCCGCTTCTCGGCCACAAAGGCCACAAACTCCCACCGAAACCCTGAACCCCTAAAACCCGCAACCCTAAGCTCCTAAACCCAAACCGGAAGCCCTTGACTTGTCGGCCCAGCTTGAAAGAATGCTTGGACATCGCACAAATAATTACTGGCGACTTTGAGGAGACGAAAGGCAGAATGAAACAAACGAAGCCTTGCATCCCATACCCTCAACCCTGCACCCGAATGGTGCCACCAAACCGACGCTTGCAGCTTACCTGCCCTTTGTTGTCATTTCGACAGTTTTGAGATAGATGCATCGGCCTTCTCCTCTTGCCAAACCCCAAATGCAAGGCTCATGGTTGTCGGCGGCAGTATTGGGACATCCCGGTTCAAACTTGTCCGTGATCGTTAGGAGCTTTTCAGACTTGTTACACTACCTCTTTGTTGCAAAAATTACGTCCAACAGCGGCGGAAACTGCCGGGTCCCGCGCCAGGCATTTGGACACCTGGAGAGCATGAGACGTTCATTCTGAGCTTGCTTCGGGAATCGCAATCTTCACATGGGAGTGCTGTATGATTCGTCATTTGTGTGTATGTACACATATATATATATATGTGTGTGTGTGTGTGTGTGTGTGCGTGTGTCTGTGTTTGTAAATACGTGTGTATATACATACAAGTATGTATGTAGCTGTGCATATATATATATATGTATATATGTCATATGCTTTGTGTCATGCTTTTTGAGGTTCCAGAACACCCTGATTCGCGCATGGCATAGACGAAAGTGAGCCCATCACACCAAAAAACAAACATGCCCCACAGATGCTGATTGCCAACTCAAGACAAAGCGTGCGAGTACGTCCTCGAAGCTTCGCGTATTCAGAAAAATGGGATTGGGATGGGCTTCTGGGGAGCTGGTTTGTGCCGGCAAACTCAGCCGCTGCACAGCTTGAAGCTGCGCAAATATCTTCGAAAAGGCATCTACCAGACACGACAAGCCGTCCACTGTTGTAGCTCAAGTCTGGCTAGTATGGAACCGCATGGGAACCCCGTGTTGCTTCCGAGATGCCCAGGTCATCGCTGAGGTTTCTTGGTTTGAAGGCCTTAGTTGTGTCCGCTAACATCGGCTATGCGACGGATTAGACATGGACAAGTCAGCAGACAGTTGATAGCCCATGACACCAACCGGTTCTCATCTTCATAGCAAGGCCCCTTCCCATCCGGAAACTCCTCCTGGGCACTCACGAATCAGCCACTATTGTCGCTGTCATCATCAAAAAACCATCAGTGCAACCACCATGACACTGAAATACGGTCGAGCTTTGTATAACGAAATCTAGCTAAATATGAAAGCAGGCTTTGATTGCCCCAACAATAACTTATTTGAGACCCTGAGTGGCCCAAAAATAATTTATTTGAGACCCTGAAAGCCTCCAATCGTAAGAAATTTAGAGGTTTCAGACTCTTTAGGGCAGGGCAGGGCAAGGCAGGGCACAGAGTTCCAAAACCACCAAAAAAAAACGCTTTTCAAGGCCTGGGAAGCTCAAAATGCTGGTTTTGGAACTGCTCAAAGGGCAGGGCGGGGCAGGGCAGCAAAACAAGAAAGAGCAGGGCGCACTTCCCAAGGCAGGGCCGGCAAGGCAGGGCAGGGCGGGGCAGGGCAGGGCAGAGTTCCAAAACCACCAAAAAATGGGATAGGGGACCCTAATATAGCACCCTAATAGTAGGACCCTTATTATAAGGACCCCAAAATAAGGTACCCTAATTTTTGGAAACTCCCAAATCGCTTTTTTAAGACCTGGGAAGTTCAAAATGCGGTTTTGGAACTGCTCTCAAGCCACACAAGGCCCTCGTTTCCTTACGGGCGATGATGAATGGTGCATTTAAGAAATTTACACCAGACTCGCGGGAGGGAAGTATATTTCTTATGCAACCTGTTCTGTTAAGAAACTTCATAGACCCTGGACGAACCTTTTCAACATAAAGTTCGCCCGTAGCCATTAAATATCCTTGACCTTGTAAAGCTAAAAAACAACTAATACACCGACACCCACCACCACCACCAGCAGCAGCGGCCACCACAATCAACAATACTAGCCCCATCTGCATCGTAGTCTCCTCATCATGACAATGACACTCCCTATCGGCACTGTTCCTTCACAAGTACCTGCATCCTCCTCATCATCATCATCATCATCGTCGTCATGAGCAGCAGCATCACCACCAACCGCCATCACCATCAACTTAATACCATGACCATGGCTACCAGCTTGAAAAGAACTATGCTCCTCATCCGTACCCGCGGTCGAACAAGCCAGCCTGCTGAACTGCCAAAGAGCGTGAAATATCGCTGTTAGCAGTTTTCGGCCCAAGACCGGGCTCGAGTAGGACGTCAACTCGAGCCAGCAATGCCGCAGCAAGCAGGGGTACATGGACATTCTCCTCTAAAGCTTTGGGTTTAGGGTTTTGGTTGGGCCTTGGAGCTAAGGCTAGTCTAGGATGTCTAACAGTTGGTACAGACCTGGCAAGATGGAGCTCTACCGGAAGTGCTTCGGGCGTAAGTTTTGGGCCACCGAGCTGGGGGGGGGCGGGGGGGTGGGGTGGCAGACCGTAGGATGGTGCAGTGAAGCTATACATCATCAATAAGTAAAGGGCTTTGGGCCATTGGGCGAGGGCCAACCACGGGATGTCGTTAGTGTAATGTTATATTGTAGTATGTTGTATTCTACTACACTGTGTTATATCCTTTTGTATTCTATCTTATTACACTGTGCTCTTTTTGTTCCATTTTAGTCTACTCCAGTCTGCTATGATACTGTATTGTGTCACATCGTACAATATGGTATCATATTATATTCGTGTACATCAGGTTGCACTATATCATTTTATACTTAGGTGTAATATTATACTGCATCCTATTTCAGAAAGTTACATAACATTACATGATATTATGTTAAATTGTATTAGACTACGGTACACTCGACTATACTATATTTGCTTATACTATACGATATTTCCAATTCTACTATAGCACATACCAGTATTACATGTTATGTTGTATGACATCATTTTACCGTAACGAACCTGAACTAAGCTTCCGTCCATGCAAGTCCCTGGCGTTGGACAAAGATGGCAGCTTCAACACCGACATGAAGCGGGGTCTTTACAGGTTTTAGGGCTTCGGGCTTTCAGGTTTTAGAGTTTAGGTTGGACGGCAGGGTCTAGGGTCCGAATCCAAGACACCTCTGTCACCCTCAGTCAAGCCCAGACGGCCTGCTCATGGCGCAGAACAACGGCTTAGGCTTTACGGTGCACGGTTTTGTTGAAAATAAGTAAACCAGCCGTTCCCAGATTATTCACAGCGTGAACGACGACAAGCTTGCAAAAAAATCAGGTCCAGAGACCGAGCCTGATTTAGGCAAAGCTCCTGCATCACGCAACAAGAGCCCAACCTTAAACGCAAGCCTCCACCCTACATAAACGCTGAGCCACAACTCAAACCCTCTAGCTCCAGTCCATGGGCCCTGAACCCCCAGCCCAAGAATCCCAAGTCTACCATGGCTTAACCCAGAATCCTCTATCCTGCCCTCCCAAGATTGGGAAATCTGGACAAAAAACCACAACCTAAACTCTAAAAAATCCTGAACCCTCAACCCAGACCCTAAAAACCGATTCAGGCCAAACAGAACCAATATAGAAAGGACAACCATCCTTCAGCTCCGCAAGAGGCAGCACCCCCGCAACCAAACCAAAACAAACATCTGGGCATCACAGGCCTTGAAGTCTATTTCGGGGAGCTGCCGAACCACCTGAGACACTTGTTGGGCGTTGGGTTGTTTGCAACTGCCTTGTTAAGCGTCTCGACCCTGAGTCGCAGGGTCCTATACTACCAAAATCATGCAACCCAGAAAAAACCTGCAAAGCCCACGCTACAGCAAAAAGAATCGCAAAGCAGTTTGAGGTTTCGGTGCCAAGGTTTGGGGCTCCCTAGAACCCCCTGTGAAGGAGGTATCTAAACGCTAAAGCCTAAAAAGGAGCTGCCTTGGAATCCTTGGACTCACCACGCGACTTCGAAGACGGACAACCTTGTCATGAGAAGCATCCTCTAGGGCTTCTTATAGAAGCCCTTCTAGTAGGTAGGCATGGGAGTATAGTATAGGGGCCTGAAGAATTACCTATACTGTTTTGGGGATTCCTTATTATCAGTATAATATACCCTAAAACCCTTTTCTAATCCTTGAGCCCCTACAATCTACCGGGTTTCGCGCCTTGGGAGTCTAGGGGGGGGGGGGTTCGGGTTTTAGGCTCTGGGGATGAGGACGCAAGTCCATGTTCTTGGGATTAGAAACGGAGTTCAAGGCACCAGGCTCCAGTTCTGTCATCTTAGGCCCTAGTTAAACCATAAAATGGTTTAGGGGTTTAGGGTTTAGGGTTTAGGGCTAAAGCCCTAAACCCTAAAACCGTGGATCCCTAAATCCGAAACCGAAAAGGCCCCGAACCCGAGATCCGCCGTGATCTTCAACTGCCTGGTTCTCAAGAGCTTGCTTCAAACGCCCCTTAAGATGACGGTTTAAGGTTTAGGGTTTAGGGTTTAGGGTTTAGGGTTTAGGGTTTGGGCTTCAGTGCTTCTTAGGTGCCCCGATTCATAAAGAACCCCCCAAGAGTGAACAAATAGTGTATATTCCCCAGGATTCCGTAATATGGTAGTACTTCTTTGACATTCCCTAGGATTCCGCAATATGGTCATACTTCTTTGATATTCCCCTAGGATTCCGTAAGATGGTAATACTACTTCATGTACCCCAAAGCCCTATTCTTAGATGGAGCTCAGCCTTCGTTCCATCGCTTACTTGGCCTGCGGTCTGCTGGCCCTGCTCGCGACGGCGGTGCTTCCTTCGGCGACCTTGTGCAAGCTCGAGGTCTGGTTTAGGATTTTAGGATTTTAGGGTTTTAGGGTTTAGGGTTTTAGGGTTTAGGGTTTAGGGTTTAGGGTTTTAGGGTTTTAGGGTTTAGGGTTTAGGGTTTAGGGTGTGAGGCCTACCCATAAGCCCCATAGTAGTTCCTTTTTGGGGATTACCTTTCCGGATTTTTTTCTGAACCCCCAAAAGGAACTACTATGGGGCCCATGGGTACCTTGAAGTCTAAAAAAAGCCTCCTACGCCCTAGGTTGACTGTGCGCTGAAGTCTAAATGTGGGGTCCCAAGGATTCTGGTAAAGTGAACCCTACACCTGGGATCCTAAACCCTAAGCCCCCTGACCCCTGCATGTTAGATCCTGAAGCCTGAACCCTAAACGGCCCTAAGCCCTAAACCCTCAAGCCCTAAACCCTAAACCCTAAACCCCTAAACCCTAAAGCCTCAACCCCTAAACCCTCAACCCCTCAACCCTAAACCCTTAAGCCCTATAAACCCTAAAGCCTCAACCCCTAAACCCTCAACCCCAAACCCCTCAACCCCTCAACCCCTAAACCCCCTAAACCCCTCGACCCCCAAACCCGAAAGCCTCAACCCCTAAACCCCCAAACCCCTCAAGCCTCAACCCCTAAAGCCCTCAACCCCTAAACCCCCAGGTAGGGGCCTTAATAATTAGAATAGGGTGTTGAGGGGGTTCCTTATTATAGTTATAGTATAATGGGCCCCAAAACCCTATACTAATGACTAAGGCCCCTATATTAACCCGCCAAAGCCCCTAAACCCCTACACCCTAAAACCCTAAACCCCTAAACCCCGAACCCCCCAGACCTCAACCCCTCAACCCCTAAACCCCCCACAGCCTCAACCCTAAACCTTAA